GAGTGACTGATTATAGAAGGTTCAAATTCATCCTTACTCAAGATGTTAATAACCAGTACTGTTGATGAAAATAACATACTTGTGCCTTCCCCTCCCCAGAACAATATTCTAGAGTTTTTCTCTTTATCTTTGATTTCCAATAATATGTACTAAATAGATTAAAAAAACAATTTTTTTTTTTTTTGCCTGGCACTCATTTTAAATCTAAATTCAAAGACTTCTTCAGCTAGAGTAAATGATGTCTATTATTTATTTAGTTAGTTCCTTCTCTTTGTTTTCTCCATTCCTCCCTTCAAGTATTCCAAATAAACAAATGTTGGAATCTCTGGATCTAGTCTACATGCTCCAATTTTGCTTTTATACTTAGTTTTCAGACCTTTCTCTTTCTAATCTACTCTTCCACCTCATGTATTTGCTCTTTACTTACGTTCATTCTAAAGAGCTCTGGTGGCATAGTGGGTAAGGTATTTGGCTGCTAACCAGAAGGTCAACAATTCAAACCAACCAGTTGCTCTGTGGGGGAAAGATGAGGCAATCTACTTCTGTGAAGATTTACAGCCTTAGAAACCAACTGGGGGTTGCTATTAGTCAGAATCAACTCAATGGCAGTGGGTTTGGTTTTGTTGGTTTTGTTTTCATTCTACTGTTCAGTCTATATGTTGTTGTTGTTGTTATGTGCCGTTGAGGTGGCCCTGACTCATAGTGACCCCTCCTTGGGTTTCCAAGGCAGTATTATTATGGAAGTAGATTGCCCCCTCTTCCTTCTGAGGAGTGGCTGGTGGGTTTGAACCACCAGCCTTCAGTCTATATAATTAAGAGAAAATGAAGTTTTTTCTTCCCTCAGATATATGCCTCTTCCATAGGTGAAATTTCATATCAACTCTTTCTCAAATGTGAACTTTGCTTATTTTTAAGTTTTGTTCTATTAATTTCTTTTCCTTGAAAAGTATTCATTTTGTTTGTTTAGCTTGATGCTTCTTGAGGTTACTTATCTTCACTGTTTTAATTTCTTTTCTTCTCTGTTTTCATTTTTGTTTGAGACTCACAGTTCAGTTGTC